TCATTATTTCAACTCTATCGCTTCACCCACAATTTAAGTTGTACCCAATTTAGTTCACATTAGTACAAATTCTAAAACTTCCTACATATTTCAATCTTACACCTCAACAGTGATCCTGACTCCAAACTTCATGATTCTAGCTCTATTGGCTCACCTAAAATTCAAATTGTACCAAATTTAGTAACATTTAATACCTATAAGTATTAATTTGTTAAACTGAATCCTGACCCTACAATGATTCTAACTCCAAGTTTCATTGTTCCCGCTCTATCGGTTCACCCAAATCCAAATTGTACCAATTATAGTACGATTTAGTATTTTTTGTACACCTAAGTAAAAAATTTCCAAAACAACGTACATATGCCAATCCTAAACTGCGAAAATAATGTTAATTTAAAATTTCGGGATTCCAGCTCGATTTGTACCTCCGAATTAAATTTGTACCAAATATAGTACAATGTAGTACTTTTCGTACACATCAGTATACGCTTTCAAAACCATCTCCTTAAATTGACCCTACATCTCAACCCTAATTCGCATTCCAATTTTAAAGTTTTTAGCTCTATCCATTCACATGCTACAAAGTTGTACCAAATTTAGTACATTTTAGTACTTTTCGCATACTTATAGTTCGAATGTCCAAAAAACCCTTTGCTATATATATTCTACACTCCATCAGTGAACTTTATTTAAAATTTAAGAGTTCTAGGTCTACATGTTCGCCAAATACAAATGGTTTCTAATTTAGTACTTTTCGTACCGTTCTAGTACGAATTTCCAAAAACCACGCCTTATCTGTCACCTTTGGACCAAGAGTGAGCCTCACCCAAAATTTCAAGATTCTAGCTTCAGCCGTTTCGTCTGGGCGGTGATGAATCGTTAAATCAGTCAGTCAATCTTTTATTACCACTAACTCTTGGTTTAAACTTTGCAGACCTGGGTTTCAAACTAAATTCACGATTGGTAAAAATATGCATGATAAACATATGTACTGTGTGGATCGATTCGGACCTTCAATTCCTTAGATATTGGTCTTACAAATTTTAAACATTTTGACCCATAGTGGGGGAGTTACCGATAGATTACATCTTCGGACTAAATTTATGTTTGGTCACATATTTCGATGTAAAAACTTTGGATCAAATCGAACATTCACTCAACTGATAGAGAATTTACAAATATTTAAAATTTTAACCCATTTGTGGTGGAGGTACAAGAAGGAGTGAACCAATAAGCCCCATCTTTATATAGGTTCATTTAAAATATTAGGTTGTGCAATGTTTGGTTCGGACTTCACACAATAATAAAATTCAATTTTCAGCTATATGCGAACTTGGGTTCTGATTTGAAGCAATTTTACGATGTGAGAAATAAAGGGTCAGAATCGTTACTCACTTTGAGAGTTATCGTGTGCATTAGCCAGACAAATGGGCAGACATTTGTAAATCGATTTCAAATTGTTTGAAACGGATTTGATCCACATAGAGTTGGAGTCCAAAACAAATATTTCGATAAGGAACATTTTTCCTTAGCAGTCATAAGGCTGCTGCTAAGTATATAAATTGCCCTCCCCATTTCCGGTATGTTGATTTTTTAGAAACATTTTCCACTGAAGGGGCCACAAGTTGACATTCCGGGTTCTTGGAGGCAGTAAAAAATCGTTCATTATAGTATATACTCATTGCAACATTTGTAGACCATCGATAACACAAAGAGCATGACAAGTACTAAATTGTATTTGATGTAGAGTTTCGCCTCAGTTGTAGTCTTTTTTGAAGTTTTTGGAGCAGACCTTGAAGGCTGCTGTGAAGACTTGCAAATTGGTGCGATTTCGTCTTCGCGATTGCCTCTCTTGTTCACAACTGAAATGTACGGGACTTAAGGCAGATCTGTTTTAGCAACAGGATTTTAAGCAAATGGTTGTTGTTTCCTCCGTCATTCTTATCCTCTTCATTGCCACAGGCGTGGAGGAGGATTTGAACACCACTAGAGTCGCCGATGTTGCTGACACAACTCCTGACTTTAGTCCCGTGCTTGTCTCATGATCTGATACTGTACAGTGGGGTTCTTTTACCATCGCCTAGAAGTATTTAACAAAAAGAATTCATTGCCGCTGACCATGTTGGGGAACTTATCTGATAACGCTTCTTGGTACAGTGCTTCATGGGTTTCCAAAGAATTTTTGAAACATTCTTGGCACACTTCCGGTCGGAAATTTCGGCTTGTCGACGAGTCCCCGTCATTGGGGTATAGCTCCATTCCATTCGTGCCAACTGCCGTACTCCTAAATGAGTCGAAATTCACCCTGTCTTGTTAGGATGGCGTTGATTCAATTTAATACCAAAGTAAAGTCGTCTTTTCCCCGCTTATAGGCATAACCGAGTTCATACATATATATATATATATATACCATAATCAGTCTAAGGGCTTATTTTGGTATTGGGTGTTTTTTAATTTTCTGAATCGCTAGGCATTGTAGAGGGGAGGACATTTCAAAGCCTCCTTACCAAAGAATGGTCCTATTACCAAGGTATCAATGAGGCTTCTCACGAATACAGCCGGTACCCTGAACACAACCCGTTGGATATGAGGTCGCATAACACACCAGTTTTATTAAATTATCCTTTATGTTACACTATGAGCAAGAGGTTCTTAAATATAACATATAAAGGTTTCGGGGACGCTTATTCTGCAGGAAAAAAGTAAAAATTCAATAAGGAATATCGAAAATGCCGGTTAAATTTTTGATAATTGAATTAATCAAATAATTTTTGAACACGTTTTGTAGAGCTATGTTCACCGATTTCCAATGTAAATAGCGTGTCCAAAATTCCCAAAGTACCGTATAATGGGGGTCTGTTTATATGGGACTCTCCCCAAAATGTTGTCAATATGGATAGTTTTTGGTGTAAAGATTTCACACCCAATGAGAATAACAAATACTAAATTACAGCCAATTTGGTTGAAAAACGCACACTAAATCGCCAAAATATCGAAATTAGAGTGGGGGTGAACTGTTATACAGGATTTCATTGCTGAATGATATCAGATACTGAAATCAATTCATATGATATTTAGAAATTTTCAGGCTTTTGACACCTTGTGCGGGATGATACTCCGATCAAATGATATGACACAACTGTTTTTCTAATATTTACCTTTGTGTTTTGAAGGTTCCGCAAGCAGTGGTACCCTATTCTTCGTCTTCGAAGTTAATCTCAAACTGGGGCGTTATAATTTGAAATGCACTCCAATGTATTTTATCCAAAGTCACCTAAAATTGATATTTCGATGAGACCTATTTTTGATCGTATCAAAGTGTATACATATTATCTCATTCTTCTTAAGGCGGATGACGTAAAGGGTTCTATTATATAGTGTTCTATTTTGATAAATATCTACAGTTCTACAAATGTAATAATGACAACGTTAATACGTTCCTTATTATTCTAAAGGATGTATGAACATTTTCTGGTTCGTCCAACCTATCCCACTGTTATTGTTTACTAAGGTCAATCAGTTATACACATGTCCATAGATACTTCTATATTAGGTCTGTTAGTTTTGGCTTAAAACTCCATTACATTGATTCTTTTTTTTTCTTATTTTGCACTTCAAATGAAAAAATGCATACGGTGCTACATATGAGTTTATAATGGCAGCTAGGACCAAAAGTAACAATAATATCTTCCTCGATGCTTACATTCTGCCATTCACTTGGTCATATGGAATGAATGAATGGTCAGTCAGCAGCGCAGACATGGATGCCAACATGTGGTTGCTTTGGCAATTTTTGTGAATCGAAAACAACAATCACCACAAGGATGTCTAAAAATCAAAGAGTGACTCCCCTAATATGAACAATGGCAATATGAGGCAAGCGAACGATGGAACGAAGGAAAAACAAACGGGGAAAAACAAATGAACTTCCAAAAAGGGAATCTAATGCATCTACATACCAATGGCCAGGACCAACAAACAACACCAAAGCCAATTCCTTCACAGTCGAGAAACGCCTACAACAATGATTGCCAAGCCAGAATAAAACCCCAAAGAAGAAGACAAAGCAAAAAAAACACACAGCAACAACTACAACAGAGGAGTATAGCAATTCCAAGTGATGTGCTCTCTAGGATATCAACACAAAAGCACATTGCAAAGCTTATCTGATGTATAGGAATGCTCTTTTACATGAATGATTGTGTGTGTGTGCGGTTGTGTGTTTTGTACGCTTGAGTGTTCAGATAAATGTGCGGATATGAAATCAGTTGAAGTTGGCTGCAATTGTTCCAGAGCTATGTCCTGTCATCCATAAAACAATTGCTAACTGACCTCAATGTGACACTGCAACGGATGTTGTGAGTAGATCTCCTTTATGGTGAATATATGGTATGGCCGTATGTAGGAGAGTGTGTGTGTGTTACTAGATAGATGTATGCATTACTACTCCATTATGAAGTCCACACGAATGTGTTTTGTCAATGTTCCTACACACATTTCTTTGCCAGCTGTGTTGTTGTCTTTCTTCTTGGCCATGGGAATAGGATGTTAAGAGTTTAAATTTCTAAAGATAAAATTTAAAGTAGATAATTATATTTGTTAAAAAAAAATAAGTGATATTTGTATTGGTGTAATGTCACCCTCAGCCCTACCTTCATAGTCCTAGGTCAACCAAATATAAATTTTATAATTGATATATCCATTAGCATCGGATTAGGTATACCTATATACATTCGCCCAATTTTATATCTATATATAGCACCTATATATCTACATATAGCACCCATATATAAGTAATTATGGTTTACCCTATGATTCACATCATCACCGACTTTAGCTCTTTCCCTGAATAATTAATCGAATTCCAAAAAAAAAAACGACCATCTTTATAACATGTTAACATTTATTCACGCATACATTTGCAAATACAAAACAAAAAAATGAAGAGCTTACGAAACGACGATATATAGAAATCTTAACTAAGACATGAGTTCGGCGCAAATTTACAATTTATACTTGATGGCACGTAGAATGGGATATTTATCACCGGAGCAAGAACCACGGAAATCATCATAGGACAAATCAACCAAAGCAACACCACCCAATCCCTTGGATTTGACATAAGCAGCCTTGTTGGCAGCGGTATCGGGATCTTCATAACCAACCCATAGACCATTTTCACCCTTATCATCAGCCGAGCGGTAGGCATAGTTACCGAAACGTTTGGTTGGATCGCCGACCTTACGGAGAGGTTGATCAGCACCCTTCAAGTGTTGGTTGGCATTGTTGGGCAATTTGCTGCAGACCTCAGGCCAGCTGTAGAGACCATCGATTTGAGTTTGGACACCGGCGGGACCAGCTTTGTCGGTATCCGATACTGGTGGCAAACCAGTCAAACCGGAATCCTTGGTCATTTTCCATGAGCGGCCATAGGTGGCAATGCCAACATTGATCTTGGTAGCGGGGCAGTGGTTGTTCAACCAGTAGTTAACTTGGAAGTTGACATTCGATTCGGGGTTACGTTCATTGAGTTCATACAAGGGGGCGGGGAAATCAGCAACTTCGGGGTTACGTTCAGGGGTTTGGAAATCGAAAGCCATCAAATTGACATAGTCCAAGTTGTTGACCAAAGCGGGGACATCGTAGAACACTACAAAATATAACATAAAATAAATTACAATAGAATTCAATTTTTGATATTAACATTTAACTTACACGAAGAGTTAACATTGGGCAAGACGGTCAAACCCAACAAGTAGCCATCAGGACGCAGGGCATTCTTCAATTCTCTAACCAAGGCGGTGAAGGCTTCCTTGTGTTCCTCAGCCTTTTCGTCAACAACAAAGTCGCCAGTGAATACTTTCTTGAAACCCTTCCAGAATTTACCGAATCCACCATGGACCTTCTTTGGCTTGTTCTTGGGGAATTGCCAGGCAACATCCAAACCATCAAAACCATAAGTCTTAACCAAAGCATGGGCACTGTTGATGAATGGAATGCGAGCATTGCTAGATTCCAACAAAGTCAAATATTTGTTGCTATCGGGATCGACTTCATCGTGATCACCACCCACGCTCAACAACACCTTCAAATGGGGGAATTTCTTCTTCAAACCGGTAATGGTACGATACAAACCAGTGCCAACATCCAAATCAAGTTTTTCATTGCTGCTAACCAATTTGTTGGTGCTGGGATTAATGCTGGCATAGCCGTAGACCAAATGCGAGCAGAATTGCAAAGCTGGTTCCAATTCGGCCAATGTCAATTTGGCAAGGCCTGTAAAAAATAAAAAAAAACAATTAATTGTTGACGTCATTAGTTAAATGTTTAATATCGATTCTGTGAATAACACACATTTTTATGACCTCAATGAAAGATTTTCATTCATCCCGGCTTTATTCGAGATTTCTTATTGACATGTGAATAAAGGGAAAAATAAATATTGAATGTTTTTGTCGAATTTTTCATCTATGACTGAATCATTTTTTAAATTTCAAACGAAATCTGAACAATTTGTAACACATTGAAATAATGGCCATGGAGTAACTATACATTATGAGACTAACATATAATCAAGGGACCAAAAAAAAAAAAAAACGGCTGAAGCTATAATATTGTAACACTGGACGTCAGAGTGTCGGTATCTTATAAGAACACTTTTTGATTTTTAAAATAAAAATGTTAAATGTTTATCAGAGTATATTTTTTTAGAGATTATTGTTTCAAAGTCCATTCAGAGATTTTTAAACTAATTTAGGCTATTCAGAGCGTAGATTTTTTTTATTTTTCCAAAGACTGTTCCGGGCATAGATTAAAACAATTGAAAGGAGCATTCAGAATGTAGATAATATTATATATTTTTTTCGACATTATTAAGAACGATTTTATAAAAAAATGCTTCTTTCAATGTCCGTTCAGAACTTCGATTTCTTTTAATAGTCGATTAGAATATTTTTCTAAATATTTAAACCTAGATTTTCTTAAGCAATATTCAGAGCGTATGTTTTTAAAAAAGTATTTACTTTTTAAAGTCCATTCAGAGCTTGGATTTTTTAAATAATATATTAGGTTGCGGAAAAAGATATCCATTAGTTTTATATGAACTATAGGACTTCATTTAACATGCTTCGGAATTTCCGATTTGGGACTAATATGCACCGTTTTGTTGTGTGATCAAGGGGCTCTGACGGCGTAGATTGTTTAAAATAAAATTTTTGGGAGCACCATTCAGATCGTAAATTTTTAAAGGGATAAGTTCAAGGACCTTTCAAACTGTAGTTTTTAAGAAGAATAGCTCACAAAGATTTTTAGAAGAATAAGTTTTCCATTCATGGGATATTACTTTTTTTAAATAATATTTTGAAAGGACCACTAAAATAAGAAAACGGTGCGTCGGTTTTAAAAGGAATATTTTTAAAGGACCACTCAGCGTATAAATTGTTAAAGGAATGTTTCATAGATCGATTGGATAGTCCATTTTTTAAGAAGTATTTTTCAAGAATAATCGGATAGTAGATTTTCCAAAAATATTGTTGTAAAATTTATCGGATCGTACATTTTCTAAAATATCATTTTTTTTAGATTCCCAAATAAATTCTTTGCATAATGAAGGTTCTCGAAGAAGAAGAAAATACATTCTCTAATAATTACTATAATCTTCGCCTTTAAGTAGTAAAGTGCTAGGTCCAGTTAGTCATATCCGTCAATTTGTTGAAATCTTAATGGAGACCGCAATATTAGGACAGATTATCTTGTAATGAAAGTGGGATATATCGGTCCCTCTTTCACTATAGCTCCATATAAAATTCCAGCCCCAATTTCGATCGTTGCAGTTCTCATATAGAGGCCCCCACCATTTTCTGCATTTTGCAGATTTTGTCGCATTTTTTCTACAGTAAAGTACATAATTTTGAATAATTTAGGCACATTTCCCAACCGAAGGAGCAGTAAATAGGTATACCCCGCCATTGGATTAAAAAAATACTTACAAAAGTGACTATAATTCCAGGAACCCCGGGTTCTTGAAGGTTACAAAACTTATTCAAAGTTTCCATATAAGTCCATGGCATTCCGTTAGTCTTCATATTTAATTTTGATATGTTTTCCCTGTTCCACCTATAAATAATCTGCCTGTTTCGTCGGACGGACCGTAGATGTTGTTTATTATTATTATTTTTTTTCATATTTTCTCCCTTTACTCTTTCATCCCCATGAATCGATGTTTATTTTAACTTTTTTGCGGTATATTTAAATTTAGATTTTATCTTAACAACCACAAATGAAACTCAGACAATTATTTATAGCTGATGCCCCTTAGTCATAAGTTAATTGTTATTATAATTGGATCACCTTCCGCTTAATAACAATACAAATCTGAAACACTTTTTAATGAAAGTGAACGTTGTGAATGGCTGGAATGATTCAGAATGTAAATACAACAATTAGTTGATCACAAGATCACTTGAGCTTCTAGAAATTAGAAAACAAAAAACAGGTTTTGTTGATATGTTTACAGGAAATAAAATGTAACACTAACTGTAACATTACCAGACATTTAGCTACAAACATACATTTAATTTTTATTAGAATTAGAATGAATTAGGCGACATATTAAATTAGCTATTTGGGTTTTAAAATATCGAATTATGTATTAGGTGGTGACATTCTAACACAAATTTGTTTTTAGTCTGTATAATAATCTAAGCCGGTAATACAAATGTGCTTTAATATTGGTAGGTTATATAACACCTAATTCGGTATAAATATGGGTACTTGGGTACTCTTGGATTAAAGTGGTTGAAGAATGTACTATTATTGCCTTAAAATGGTTTGAAGGTTCACAAATTACATACTCATTAAATATTGTAAATGTACACTAAGGAAAAATGACATATTTTGGAGATTTTTTAAGAATATAATTTTTCTCATTATTAGGGGTCTAGAAGATTCAGCTTTGCCAAATTTCCCGAAGTTTTTTAATTGTTTTGAACTAGTTATTTTGTGTTTGTAACTTATATTGTATGTGTGTACAAAACAATGCCGCATTTTCATAATACCAGCAAAGCCTCTTATTGCATTTAGCTACAGACGTATGTAACTAATTATCACTTTTGTTGAATACTTAAAGTGGGATTATATACATATATATTTTTTTGCCAATTTATTTCTCGGAAGTAAACAAACAAATTTAAATTGAATGCGATAAATTGAACACATATGTGTATGTATGCTCTACATTAATACATATATTTAAAACGTGATGATGACGTGTCGTCAAAGAAAAATCAATTATTCACACTCGAAAATACATTTTGAAATAAAATGTCTATATAAGAATTTATATTGATTGCTTAAATATATGAGACAATCATCGTCGTCGACACAAAACGACGTCGTTGAGAGTCGTTTTTTGCAAATTGGTATTCCCTATGTCGTTGTCGACATTTATCGATAACTATTGACACATTTTTGGTATTCCATAACAAAGTTTGACGACGACGATGTCGAAGATTCTTCGTCATTATTTTTGTTGACGAATGAAGTGTTTGAATAAAATTTTTTTAAAAAATTAAAAAAATATGTCCGGTCAAGAAGAGAATACGTCATCCTCAACTCTATTAAATAAGTTTTGGAAAATTTCGTGCAAACAAAAATATATGGTGGGATCTGTATATAAATATGACCAATATGAATTGGGCTCGTCTTGTGCCAAAAAAAAAAGTTTCGTCCCATTCGGATCATAAAGGTGAACTGTAACTTCTTTTAAAAAAATATTTGGACGGAGGGACATGCATAAATTGACTTAAAAAATAATTTGATGTATATACTAAAAAGTAACTATGGGTCTATCTCGTTTCCATTTGGATGTTGCAAATACATGTGCCAAGACATAATGCCCCGTGCTACAGTGTGGTGAAGGATACAACCAAATTTTTGAACAAAAATATCAAACAAAATGGACAGCTGACTTCAATTTTAGAGATGTGTTTTTTGTTTTATTGATATTATAGATAAATAGTCGACATCGTCGCATGAGTGTTACAGAATACCAAATCAATGTCGAAGTGATGTCGATGTCGATGCGAAGTGATGTTGACAAAGAAACGTCGTCGACAACGACGACGACTTATGGAATAGGGGTGAATAAAAAGATAAAAAAAATTACAGAAAACAAAATTATTTATGTTTATAAAAATTTGAATAATTATTTTTCAAGTCCTAAATAGTGAGATAATAAAAATTTTCTTTAGAAAATGTGTTTTTTTTTTTATAGAGGAGTTCTAATTTAGTCCACTAGAATTAATCTGTGCAATTTCAAATTCACTGCGGCCCATCGTGGATTCAGGAAAATAAAATACCGGAACGAAATCTCGAAGAGGTTTAATGAAGGTAATAATTTCTAGTGGTAATAATGTCGGGAAATGTATAGGTCTCCTGCTAATTACTTTCTAAGAAACCACTACAGACCTCACACCAGTTGACGATTCCTTAAAATGGAATTTTAACACTTTGATATGAGGGAGGCACCGCTGGGTGTGGACGGATAATCGATATCCACAAAGTTTAGATAAAAAATTTAGATGAATCTTCGTTAGCATGACATTATAAATTTATATAAGGGGCCTGAGGGTATAGAAAGTAAAAAAAAACTAAAAAAATAAATTAAAGCAGTGGATGGAGCAGTATAGTCGAACGGGGTGGTTCTATGTTCTAAACTTGGGCAATATTTCACGATATATGCACCCTCTTGACAGACTAGAGGTCAACAAATATTACTAATATTCAGTACAGCCCTTCTAATTGCTTGTGCAAATTCCCTTCACTGTGGGTTGTGTTGTGATGTTCGGTTTTCAATTTTGACCACTCGAAAAACACCAAAAAATATGTTTTCAGTTCAGTTCATCCCATTATTATTATCAATTCAATTTTATTTCATAAACGAGAACCTAGCCCAAAGTGCCATGAGCGATTCCAAAAACTTCATTACATGGACTACTCCCAAAGCTTAAAATTAATTAACGATTAATTACACTGTGCTACAAAATAACAAAATTTTTTTTCAAGAATTCTAATGTACCACTTCTGCTTAGTTGGAGTCCCTGGATCACAAAAATACCTTTGGTTTTTCTGGGTCACTTCGAAAATTAATTTTATAACGGTAAATATAGAGAAAAACGTGGTTTCATAGATTTTCCATTTGAAACTTGAATAACTTATTTACTTTATAACGGATTTATATTATTCTTTTTTTCATTCGAAGAGTACAATTTTTCCTTTCAAACAAGATATATATTTGGTAACTATGGGTCTATCTCGTTTCCATTTGGATGTTGCAAATACATGTGCCAAGACATAATGCCCCGTGCTACAGTGTGGTGAAGGATACAACCAAATTTTTGAACAAAAATATCAAACAAAATGGACAGCTGACTTCAATTTTAGAGATGTGTTTTTTGTTTTATTGATATTATAGATAAATAGTCGACATCGTCGCATGAGTGTTACAGAATACCAAATCAATGTCGAAGTGATGTCGATGTCGATGCGAAGTGATGTTGACAAAGAAACGTCGTCGACAACGACGACGACTTATGGATAGGGGTGAATAAAAAGATAAAAAAAAATTACAGAAAACAAAATTATTTATGTTTATAAAAATTTGAATAATTATTTTTCAAGTCCTAAATAGTGAGATAATAAAAATTTTCTTTAGAAAATGTTTTTTATAGAGGAGTTCTAATTTAGTCCACTAGAATTAATCTGTGCAATTTCAAATTCACTGCGGCCCATCGTGGATTCAGGAAAATAAAATACCGGAACGAAATCTCGAAGAGGTTTAATGAAGGTAATAATTTCTAGTGGTAATAATGTCGGGAAATGTATAGGTCTCCTGCTAATTACTTTCTAAGAAACCACTACAGACCTCACACCAGTTGACGATTCCTTAAAATGGAATTTTAACACTTTGATATGAGGGAGGCACCGCTGGGTGTGGACGGATAATCGATATCCACAAAGTTTAGATAAAAAATTTAGATGAATCTTCGTTAGCATGACATTATAAATTTATATATAAGGGGCCTGAGAGTATAGATAGTAAAAAAACTAAAAAAATAAATTAAAGCAGTGAATGGAGCAGTATAGTCGGACGGGGTGGTTCTATGTTCTGAGCTTGGGCAATATTTCACGATATTTGCACCCTCTTGACAGACTAGAGGTCAACAAATATTACTAATATTCAGTACAGCCCTTCTAATTACTTGTGCAAATTCCCTTCACTGTGGGTTGTGTTGTGATGTTCGGTTTTCAATTTTGACCACTCGAAAAACACCAAAAACTATGTTTCCAGTTCAGTTCATCCCATTATCAATCAACTTTATCAATTCAACTTTATTTCATAAACGAGAACCTAGCCAAAAGTGCCATGAGCGATTCCAAAAACTTCATTACATGGACTACTCCAAAAGCTTAAAATTAATTAACGATTAATTATTTATCAATTCATAAATTCAAATTGAAACCTACGAAAAATAAAAATATATGAAACTAATATAGGATAAATCAGCTATAAATTAAACATTAAAATCCATGAACATCTGCATATTGAAGTAACTTTTTCTTGTAACATTTTAACGAAACACTGAATATTTTAAAAACCTGTGGCAAACTATTGAACACCCGAGCAACCCTTACATGGAAAGACTTCTCTAACAAAGGGCTCAAACGAGGCACTTGGATTTGAGTATTTCTCACAGACCTACTGAATGAAAATAGTTCCACTACTGAGGAAGGGGTTTGGGTTTTATAACCCTTATAGAAAAAACATACATCTCATTTTAAGGAAGTCATCAAATGAAGTACCAAGAAACTCCTTAAAATAAGGAGAAACATGATCACGCAACTTAAGTACAAACACATAACGCATCTGATCATCACCGAAAATTATAGGCTTTGTCTTTGAAATTTCTGGAACCTCACGGAACATTTCAAAGCGATCAGCGTTATATTTCCGCCCTCTAGTGTGGTAAGGTGTTACTAAATAATATATGAATGCGTAAGCATATTTAAGTATAACTCCCACATCCGAGTACATACGACAATATAATTGCTATCAATCTAAAGGTCAACCACTCCTAGACATCTTATAAACTTATCGGGCATGCTTATTATTTGGCCCGACCCCCTCCTTAATGTAATGGGCCACTGAAGCGAATAGAAAACCCGACAAGTAAAAAGTCCATTTAACCCCCTAAATATCAATAGATGTTTACCAAAAACAATAGGGGTATTCGCAGCGTTACAAATTCTTGGGCCTGCACAAAGCCTTTACAATACCATGAAATATTCATCGGAAATCCCACAACGTATAGATATTCTTGATCAGAATAAAATGTTATGTCAATTTATGCTTCTTCGGCTGTCTGTTTAAATTACAATAGATATTGCAATTCTTAACATAGAGCTCTGAAATTGGATACAGACATTGCTAGTATTGCAAATTAAATATATCGATCCATGTTTTTGGATAGCCCCCATATAACCGTACCTGCCATATCACCGTACTAAAAATATTACTATTCACCCAAGTCGGTATTTTTGGAAATTTTGGGCACTAATACGGGTTTTCTCCCATTAGTTTTAGATACTTTGAATGTCATCCTCATGGTGGATGGTATAAAAAGTTCGGCCGGCCCGTAATAAAATATTTCCAAAAATAAATTCCTGTTGAAATATTTAGTCCCTCAGGCCCTGATTACAATATTTTATAAATATTGTATTTTTCTTATGAAAGTCCGTACATCCGTACTTCAAAATTCCCTAGGGACCAATGCATTTCCCATTCCCATATGACAATATGGGTATAATTTTTAAAGCTGAGACCCTGATTACGAGAATTACTTCTTTTCCGAGAAATTGATGTTAATGTAACTTTTCCTTTAATAGGAGATTCAGTTACGCAGCCGCTGTTGGCATATATTCATATGTGAAAGTCTAAAATCCCCAGTTCAAGGCCATCCACCAGCAATATTTTTTAAATATGATTTTGTCCCAAAGCCGGTTTAGCATCAGTCTCCGAATGCCGGTGATTTTTAAATTTGTAATCGAGACCTCAATCAGTTTATGATACTACCAATAATTTTTAAATCATTGCGAAGATATAAGGGTCCCAATGGAATTATGGCGGCCCATTTCACTGGAAGTGTGAACCACCGCACAAAAAATGATATAATTGCAATATGGGGACCTAAACTTGACTTGTTCCGGAAATTTAGGGAAACTGCAACCCTAGGTTTCAAATATTTTTAAACTACAATCAGTCCAATTTAATTTGTTTCAAAATATTACCACATTAATTTGTTATTGTTGTATACATGTGTATATTTTTTTTCAAAACAAACGATTGAACATCGTTCACGATAATCTAATTAGCATAAAACTAAAAGCTTTTAATCTCTTTCCGAGAAAAAAAAACTAATAAATAATTAACAATAACAACAACAATAATAAATGTTGGCACTTAACAAAATTGAACGCCTTCAGAGATTATGAAATTGTGTCGACAATGTGTGTGTTTGACAGAGAGATAACCTTTAGTTTCCCCCAGATTCAAGAATTTAAAATTTTTATAAATAATTCTGTATTGCAATTAAAAATTCTAGAGAAGTCCAATTGAAATAAAAAATCCCCCAAAATATATACACGTCATGTGTAGCAAATATTTTTTTTTTATTTTTGTTCACAAACAAATATACACATAAGGTCCTAACCAAACTCGGGTTAATGAAACCGATGTCAATGAAAAAATGCAGTCATACAAAGAAAACCTTCAAATTACTTAGAAGCACACGCAAATATTCTTGAGAATACCATTTGAAATATTTAACACTTAATTTTGAAAACAAAATATTCTAAATTATTCTGATATTTTTTCACTGTTTTAATATTTGTGTGTGTGATTTCATTTTATTTACCTTCACGGACATAGGAATTGCCATCATAATAGCAAACCAAATGAGATGTGGGACCGGCATTGGCGAATGATTGCTGGACAGCAATTGCACCGAACAGGGCACAGAGCAAAACAAATGATTTCATTTTGCTTGAAATTTGTTATTTTTCGGTTTCAGCACAACGAAAACGAAACGATTTTCACAGATAGGTCTTTACGCACCAAAACTTAGACACGAACTAAAATAGCCTCTTCGAGGAACGTCTTAAGTAATGTCGGTTTTGAGACACCGATATTGAACCTCGCGTCAAAAAAAAAAACCAAATCAAACAAAAGCAAACAAATTTTGTTGTTTTTGTCTCGAAAATACAAAACACAATAACAAAAAACTACCTCCCAAATGTCTCATTTGAGATGATAGAGTAAAAGCGAGAAACCGACAACAACAACAGCAAACACCGAATGTAATTTGAAGCCGTAAGTGCGGCTTAAGAGCGACAACAATAATAACGACAACAACACATGGCGACCAGACCAGACAAACAGTTTGAGCGAGCATTAACAAATTCATGATAACACTGGCTTTGCACAGATTTATTTATTTTTGTATTTTTTGTACCTAGATTTTTTGTTTTTGTTTATTTTTATTGTGATGTTATTCTGACTCTCAGTATGTAGAGTTTTTTTCTAGTTTTTGTTTCAATTGATGACATCAATATGCAAATGTTTTTTTCTTCATTTTTTCAGATGACCGCACAGTGTTTGGAGTTAATATACAATTAAGAAAGTATGATTTTGGTATTTGTGGCGAATGAACTGAATTGTGAAGGGTAAGTGATCATAAGATAATTGTGTAGCAATAGTTTGCATTTTTTGTTTTCAATCCAAATAATTTTGTTTAAAAATGCGACCTAACAATTATTAATGCCTGAAGATACAGTTGCGAACAAGAGATACTGTTAATAAAGAAATTACAGTTTCGTTAATTTATTTTGTTTTTTTTTTTTAATTTGGTTGAAAATCGTGCCCAAACTCCCTTAAACACGGAGTAAATGGGGGACTGTAAATGAAGGTTATACTAAAATGTGCGCCAATCATTGTTTTAGTCGCTGTATACCAAATGAACATTTAAAAAAGTGCCAGTCGTTGTTGCCGACAGATATATATCCTCACCCTTTGGTTTGCGGAGGAGATCTTCGGAGTTAACACTGATTTTATTATTTGTTTTATATAATGTATATGTTTAACTAAATATGTTTCGGATTTTTTTTTTCGATGATATATATAATATTGACCCTTTTTGTAGGATATACCAGAGAAGAGGGCAGACGGGTCCCACCATCGGACTTGATCTAGGCTTGGTAAAGATAATAGGTTGTGCAACATTTGGTTCAAATCGAACATTCCATTCGCCTGATATTGGGGGTTTCAATCGGACATTTCATTCGCTTGATATTGGATTCATAAATATTCAAAATGGGAGGTACCAGAATTAGTGGACCAATGGGTCCCATTTTCAATCTTGATCTAGGCTTTGTAAAGATAATAGGTTGTGCAAAGTTTGGTTCAAATTGGACATTCCAATCTCCTGATATTGGATTTATAAGTATTAAAAATTTTGACTCTTTGGGAGGTACCAGAAATAGTGGACCCAATGGGCCCCATCTTCAAACTTGATTTATTATTGGTAAAGATAATAGGTTGTGTAAAGTTTGGTTCAAATCGGACATTCCATTCGCCTGATATTGGATTCATAAATATGAAAAATTTAGGCCATTTGTTTGGGAGGTACCAGCAGGAGTGGACAAATGGTTCCCATCTTCGGACTTGATATAGACTTGGTAAAGTCAACAGGTATTGCAAAGCTTAGTTCAAATCGGGCATTCTAATCGCCTGATATTGGATTCATAAATATGAACAATTTAGACCACTTTTGTGGGAAATACCAGAAGAGTGGAACAATGGATCCCATCTTCGAACTTGATCTAGGAATGGTAAAGATAATAGGTTGTGCAAAGTTTGGTTCTAATCGGACATTACAATCGCCTGATTTTAGATTTATAAAAGTGAATATTTCGATAATTAGTGGGGGAGGAACGATATAGTGTGGACTGATGGGTCCCATCTTCAAACATGATCTGGGCTTGGTGAAGATAATATGTTGTACAAAATTTCATTCATAAATATTAAAAATGTTGACCCTCTGTGTGGGAGGTACCAGAAGGACTGAACGATGAGTGTCATCTTCAAACATGATTTAGCTTCGTTTAATAGAATAGGTTGTACAAAGTTTCGTTAAAATCGGATAATCCGTTTGCAAGTTATTATAAAATTAATTTTTAACACAATTTTGACTATTTTGTGGGGAAGGTACCAGAAGGAATGGACCGATATTCCCCATTTTTGAACTTAAACCAATATTTCGATGAGGCACATTTTCACCGTATCAAATTCTATATACCCTTATTAACCATAAGGCTGAGGGTATGAAAATCGTTGACGTTATCTGGGTTACGATTAAAGCTCTATTCCTTCTTCCAATGAACTTATACAAATCTAGTCCTACCCGTTATATTTCCATGTTACCAATTTTTGTAGTTTTTAGCCATATCACAGACCTACGCACCAATATTGATCCTTGTGGCAAGCTTAACTTCTCCAAGCGTCTTTTTTCGTATTTCGGAATTTTTTAACAAATCATTCCTAGCTTTCTTATTCGAGTATTGTTTCAATAGTTGTAGATTTTCCACTTTGTCCATATCAAATGTATAAATGGTATAATTTTAGAGCTTTCGATTTTTTATTTCTCTACACTCTGATGTTTCCCTAAGTTCACTTCCAGTTTACAAGCGGGAATGGAATTATCTAAAAATGAATATCATGGGATTGGCTTTTCAGATCGTTGATTTCTTCATTTTATTTCAACTTTTCAGCTCTATGAGAAAAATTAACGTACTTATATTCATAACTAGAATTTTAGCGTTTGTATGCAATTAAAAAACATTACAACAAACATGTATGATTCATTACGGTTACAAGTTAATATTCTCAACTTTTTATTTTGTTACAGTTCAAATAAATTTCTAGACAACCTGATATGTTTTATATCTTTTCTCAAATAATATTTCAGTTTAGTACAAAGAAATATGAACAACATAGAGCTATATTTTCTCATTATCTATGTAAGCGATAGATTATAAATCTGTGACTTTCGAAAATATGAGAAAAGCCCCTTATAAATATTAATGAATGATATAAATTGATCAATTAATATCAAATGCACTTGAAGAAATATATTTTTATCTGTCATTGCAACAGCAACATATTAGGTAAGGTATTATGCAAAGATAAGGTTTATGAGAGGTCCAATTGTTCTCAGCATTTGCTGTTCTCTCCCTCCTATAAGATGACTTGTCGCTATTGTTTGACAAAATATTAGCTCTTCCATGAAATGTCATATAGATCTTTTTGAGAAGCCTGCTGCCCTTCTTTGATAAGAACTATAGATTTTCTAACTGAAGACCTTTTTCAAAGATCTATAATTGATCTATAAGAAAACCTACAGTCATTTTATGAGATGGTCTTTAGAAGATATTTAGCTCTTCTATTAGAAGACCTAGGATAATAATTTCTCTGTATGAGGAGGCCTTTTATGAAAAAGTCTTTAGACTGATAGCTCTCATATGAAAAGATTAGCTGTTTTCTATTAATCTTCTATACATAAACATTTTTGGATCTGCGAAGAAATTATTTCATATTCTAAATTGAAAATACGGCATAGGCTACCACATTGCTATTTTACTGATTTCATTATTTTTAATCTTTTTTCTGTTTTTTGTGTACCCCAAAAATTGTTATTTTATGAACAGCTTCAGTTTTAATGTGTTTCCTTGATAGGCTGTCGTTGATAAATTTTATGAAGGTTCGTTCCAGGTAGACGACGTTTATTTGTTATGCGTACTAATGTAATTTCTTACGTCAGCCAGTTGTTTGAAGCACTTATAAAAATGTCATCGAATGGAGGAACATTTAACATGTCACTACACACTCTCCTCATAACCACAAATTTTATTTTTGTATATTTCTAATTTTGGACGTATGTATATTTGTAATGTTTTTATCCCACATTATTTATCTAAATCATGAATTTAGTTTGTGACACCGATGCCCAAGGTCCCATTTAAATTTAATATTTTTTTATCAACATTTTTATAACAACCAGGCACGTTTTGGTTTTGAGATGACTGAGACCTTCAATAATATCGAAAATAGAATTTGTTTGTTTATAAACAAAAATAATCTTTTGTGGTGAAATTTATTTCTATATGAAATTATTTTTGTATAGGAAAGGCTTCTAGAAGTTTGCGATAAAATCGTATGTTTCATATATTTATGATTACAAACATTATTCCTCTATTTTTTACGGTTATGGAATTATGGAGGAAGATAAATTGAATCAATTTTGGTCCAGAAAGTAATAAATAAAAACTACATTTTAGTTTTCTCATATCATTCAAAGGGTCTCAGGACAATTTTGTCTATAGAAAAATTCACAAGACCATTCAACGAAAAAAATCGCAGGAAAACTGTAATGATAAAAAAATGTACACCTCTCTTAAGACAATTTCTCCTATAGAAAAAAAATTCACGTCATTTTTATAGGGCCATATTTCGCAATTCACATGGCTCATTTCTTTCTATAGACAAAAATCACAGGAACCTTAAAACCATTTTTGTCTACAGAAACTAACTTAAAAGAACTTTAGGACCATTTTTCCCAAGGAAAATGTGCAAAGGCCCTTTGTGCCTATAGAAATGATTTCACAGGACTTTGGATTTTATTTTTTCTATACAAAAAAATCACAGGACCCTTTTAGTGATTTTCAATACCCTCAGCCATATGGCTAATGAGGGTATATATACTTTGCTACGGCAAAAAATGTGTCTCATCGAAATATTGATTTTAAACGTTTCTTTGAACCAAATCCTTTTCAGACAATTTGAAGTCGATTTATAAATGCCCGTCTGTCTATCTGTTTGGCAGGATAGTGCAAACAATAACAGAGTAAACGAATTCATACAGACTTTGCACTCCTTCGGTTACCTCCCCACAAAATGGTATACATTTTCCTAAAAAATTTGAGCCAAACTTTGTACAACATATTAC